ACTATAAAATACATTATAATGAGTTAAGCTATGAAGAAAATGAATGCACTTAAAGTATACTAATTAATTTCCAGGAATACTTCAGTGTTTGTAAAGTGCAAAACTCCTTTAGTGACAAGTATTTATATCAGGTAGGTACCAGAATGCAGCTGTCTGAATTGAACTGCCTTAGATTGCAGGTAACAGCTTCGTTTCTTCCTGGGATGGGAATGAATGCTCAAGTCTGCATTTAATAGTTATGGTCAATACTTAGCCTGCCTTTGGAAGGAGCTGAGAGAAGCAGTTGGTCACTGAATAAGAATGCAGAGACTGCAAAAGTATAATTTCTTATTTTAATAAAATTTAACTAGGTGCGATTATCTATTTTTATAAAGAGAAAGCAGTTGATAAAATCCTGTCAGTTCTTTACATTAACTAATTTAATAACATAATGAAGTGAGTATTGCGGTATTTTGGTTTCCACATCACTGTCCCCATCTGGTAACCTGTACATAAAATGGTGCATTGAGCCTAAAATTCAGTCAGATTCCTGCAGGCAAATCTGAACATGTAAAGGACCATGGCTGAAACTGCAGTTTGCCTGGGAACATTCAGTGCTGTGAAGACACTCTGGGAAGTGAGAATACACAAGATAAATGAAGAATTACAGAAAGAAAAGGAATTCAGGCAGAGGTCTGCAGGAAGGTAGGTAAATTGTAGCTCTTTAAGTATTTGAAAAGCTAAACCATATGAAACATTTCCGAAGACTGTAATAATTCTTGTTTAGGACCCCTTTGGAAATCAAGCTAAAAGAAGCTGATTGACCTATTTTCTTGCACTTATATGTGGTGGAATGGAAGACTTTCATTTTAGGAGACTGCTTCAAAATGTGATTTGGAACGTAATTCCACATGACGCTGTATTCTGTGGCCCTGCTGTAACATGTTGAATGTGAATTATATCCTCCTTCTGAATGTAAATTTGAAGAACTGTAAAATAGAATTCCTATAAATTACCTCAGCCAAACATTAAGGGCTTCTCTCCTTAGAAGTGTAGTATATAATATATAGTATATAGCTATAGTGTAACTACTATAGCTATAACTATAGTATATTATATACTATAATAGTATCATATGATAGTATATTATATGATAGTATATTAACATCCAGATATAATTAATATTATTTGGCAATAAGGAAATGGTCTCTTTTTCCAGAAAATAGATAGGATAGGAATTATTGGCTGTATTCATTGTGGCACCACTGGCAGATCTTCTTTCCCTTGTAGGCTACTTCTTGTCTGGGAGGAGAGAGCTGCTTTAGCAAAGCTCAAAGAAAAAGTTATTAATGAAGGTGGAAGAGCAATTTTAAGGATAGAGGAAGAAGAATGGAAGGTAGTGTTGATAGGAATAAATGTTGCTTGTGTTGAATGACTGATGCATTAGAAAACTGCTATTTACAACTTTACACTTACAGTGGTACTATTTTTATTCTATTAACTACTCACTGTGCTTTGCTAACAGTGAATTGGGACACACTGTTGTGAGTGTAAAAGCAAGCTGGGTGTTTTTTAGTCCTGAGTATTAAGCATTACTCTGCAAAAACAAAACCTAAAAGACTTTTCTGCATTAGAAATTATTTACACTGTAAAGTATGATTTTCATTATGTAAATTCTCATTTAACATTCACACACCAGAACTAATGAAATGCATCAAGATGAAAACCCTCTGTGTTTGTGTGCATAAAGGTATTTATTATTGTTTGTTGTCTCCTTCTAAGAGTGAAAATGAGACATATATTCCCAGAACACTATTATTGTTGTTTTTCATGCACAGGGGTAATCTGCTGTTAATGCTGGCAGAGGGAAGGCCAGCAGTGCTCTGAGCCATGCAGAAATGCACAGACCAGCTCCTAGAGAGTGACGAGTATTAGTTCATGTTGAGGCCAGTGAGAACATGACAACCAGACCCAGCCATACTCCAGTGGTCTGCAGGCCAGTGATCCTGGTTCAGAATGCTGCATATAGATATTGTAGTTTTGTTATCCTTCAGCTCTTCTATTCTCAGCTGCTCACTGTTTATTGACAGAATAGGAAATAGAATTTAGATGCCCCTTTATTTATTTGTTAAAAGACGAAGGGAAAGGGAAAGGGAAAGGGAAAGGGAAAGGGAAAGGGAAAGGGAAAGGGAAGCCTGAAGCCTGTCAATGACAGTAGTGCAGGTATCTAAATCCTAGGAGCCATAAGTGGCCAGTTTAAATCTGTGATCAGAATGACAACCCACACTGGTGTTCACTTCAGGATCATGGAATATGCTGAATTCATTAAGTTGAACTCTTTGCTTTGCACAGCACCATCTTCAGGAGTCACACCATGTGCCTGAGAGTGTTGTCCAAACACTTCTTGAACTCTGTCAGGCTAGTGCTGTGACCACTGCCCTGGGGAGCCTTTTCCAGTGCCCAACCACCCTCTGGTGGAAGAATTTTTACCTAATATATTGATGTATGTATGTAAATGTAAACCTTTTCCTAATATGTATGATATTAAAATTGTATCAGTTATGGTTGCTATTTCTAGCATATTTTAGAAAACAGTTATCAGGATTCATTTTGTAACCTACATGTTAGCTTAAAAAAAGGACAGACTGTTAGTGTTTCAAATAAAACTTCTGCCTCAGCCTGTATTCTAAACTGAATTCTTTCTGGTTTGTGTTTCTTATTGTAGACATTACCTTCATGCTTATTGAAACTAATCCATCTCCAGGAATGGCAGCTTCACAGAACTAGTTTGCAGAAAATTCCTCAATTTATTGGAAGATTTCACAGCCTTGTTGTTCTGGATCTATCCCGGAACTCAATTGAAAGTGTACCTAAAGAAATTGGTGAGCTGTGCTTTCTTTTATTTTAAGCTGCTTTTCTAAGAAAATTGGTCTCTCACAAATATACCATTTTTGTGCCCTTTGCCTGTCTAACAATCCCATTGATAGTAAGAAAACAGATGATTTAAATCTGACAGTGAGATAGTGATCTCCAAACTGTAGATTCCCTACAAATTAAGAATGGGACTGGATGGAAGAGACATATCTCTATGAAAGCTCCCCATGACAAAAAAAGGACCTGTTTGCACAGCAGGGACTAGACATCAGAATGCAGCTAGAAAAGTGATACTGAAAACCAGACTTCATGCTCTGAGCCCACAGCTTGAGTAGCCTAGTCATTTTTTTGGTTTTGGGTTTTTCCTTGAAGCACTCAACTCGAGTGCAGTCCTGTACTAAAGAGCCCTGAAGTGCCACTATTTGCAGTTCAGTGATTTATTTTTGTTTTGTGAGAGAACAGAGCATTTATATAACAGTAAAAGGATAAGCCAAAACAAATAATATTGTGCCTCAAATAGAATAAACATGAACATTTCTCATTTGTGCTCTCTGTAGGCCAGCTGACCAGTCTCCAAGAGCTGCTTCTCAGTTACAACAGAATAAAATCTGTTCCTAAGGAAATAAGTAACTGCATCAGTCTGGAAAGATTGGAACTGGCTGTCAACAGAAGCATCTGTGATCTTCCTCCTCAGGTTTTGACAGAGTGTTTAGTTCTGTTTAACGCATATTTTGAATTTATCCAAAGCCAGTTGTTATTACTCATTGCATTTCTGCTTTCAGATTTGCTGTGATGCTGCGATTTCACAGTAATCCACAGAAACACTGATGTGAACAACCTTTCTATGACTTGTCAAACTGAAGCCATATGAGAAGCACATACCTGAGTAGCTGATGGAGCCAGTCTTTGTTTCAGGCAGTTAAATGATTTGGCAGTGCATAGAGGGCAACGAAACACTCCATATCAATTTGTTTAGGCTGGTTAATGTCACTGATTTACCCCACTAAGAATCTGATGCCTTAGCACAGAGAAGTTCCCTTTTGCAGTTGAGAGTACAAATTCATACCATATGCCAGGACACAGCTGTAAGCATCTTTACCAGAACAGCTAGATCTGAAAAGGGGTGGTGTGTTTTATACAACTGCCTGTGCAGAGGTGAAAAATTGTTGTTCTCAAATGTTGAAAACAATTATGAAAGAATGAAAAGAATTACTCATCTACTATTGAACTTCAATTGGAATAGACTGAAATGTGAAAGACCTGCATCTGTAACTATTAGTCTCTTAGACAGAGATTACAAGTGTGTAACAGTATTTACTTGTTTTAATTGATTTTAAGAAATCAGTCATGGCAATAGTTGACAGCAATCAGTACCTTGCAAAATTGAGTGAGTCCAAACAGCAATAGCCCACATAGAATCTTCAAATGGAAATATACACTATTAACCAAAATCCACAATTTACAAAATCTATGTGGATACAGGTTGCAGGGTGTAATGTAGAAAATCCAGAGTTCTGTCTTACGGAGACTGTAGCATTGTGAGCACTGGGAAGCTTTGGTTATGTACACTTGAGTGGCATTCAGTCTTTAGATGGTTGCACCAGATCTGCTATAAAATGTCTTTGTATCACTTGAACATTGCAAAAGCACCTGAAGGCATGATTCACCAAAGGACTTAGGTGCTGTGATACTATGTTGCATTTTCAGAATGTCTTGCCCCAAAGTAGACATTGCAGCATGGAAGGTGTTACGATTCACTGCAAAATACAGTCCATGCAATTTGATACATAAAAATCTAAATGTTTTACAAATGAAAAATAGCATATTGCATGCAGTATGAAATACTAAGGACAGTGCTGTCTTTAGAATTCTTTATCTTAAGACTTGGGGCATATCTGCATTGTAGACAGAAGTTAGGGCACTAGCTGCTGGCTGGGAGGTAAAGTTCTGCTGCCTTGTCAGTTCCCAACCTATCTACCTTCCAGGCAAAATTGTTATTGTTAGGTACTATCAGCTATGGGAACTCAAAACCATTCTGTGTTTACTGGCTCCAAAATGTGTTGTAATGTTTCTCAGCATTATTAGATTACTGCAGTACTGCTGCAACAACTACACAAAGTTGCATTACATCTCCCCTTCTTTTCAGCTCAGCGACTTAAAGAAGCTGTCACACATAGATTTATGCATGAATCAGTTTACTGCCATCCCTTCAGCTCTCCTCAACATGCCCAATCTAGAATGGTTAGATATGGGGGGAAACAAACTCCAGCAGCTTCCTGATGCAATTGACAGGTAATATAGCTCAAAGCTCATCTTAGTGCAATTCCATTACATTGAAATTCTAATTAATAAATACTACTTCAAAAGGTAATTGTTATTGTTATATTAACTTCACTCTGAAGTCAAGATTTTATCAGCCCTAATGTGATGTTTTGGATAAGACTGAATAATCCTTTCAACTAACAATAAATTCTGTATCAACTGTGAGGTTAAATATTTGTTGTCAATGACATTTTTCAACAGAGAGTAGGTGATTATGTTGGATATGGGGTTTCCTTTGAGACTTGTTGTATTTTATGTACTTTATATGCCTGAAAAGTTATTTTATAGTAATGTCTGGTAAGATTAATTTTCTAAATCTTGATTTATTGCACAAATACCTGTTTTGCAGAATGGAAAACCTCCACACTTTATGGCTCCAAAGGAATGAAATAAACTATTTGCCAGAAACTATTGGTAATATGAAAAATCTTAATACTCTTGTTCTTAGCAACAACAAACTTAAGAATATTCCAGCTTGTATGAAAGACTTGACAAATCTGAGGTAAGAAAAAGCACCAAAAATATAAATGAAAATACTAGAAAATATTTTTAAAGCCTCCCTTGAGTTGTGTATCACAGAGTGATACCAAGGAAGAGGAAAAGGCATTACCTCAGTTGTACAGATGGACACAATAAATCAGCATAACTACACAGATTCACAACAATTAAGGATCTGGTCAAGCAAGCTTTGTGTAGTGTAACTTAGCTAAAGAAGTAAATTATGATAGCTACAGTCTCAAAAAAGTAGATTATAATACATTTTCTCATATCATACCCTCCCCTATATTTGCCCTTTTTTAACGTTCTCTAAAGGCAAGAACTTGCAGAAAAATGTGGCAGGCATAAAAATGACAAAAAGCAGAAATTTGCCATTGAGAAATCAATCATTCAGAATTAAACAAAAATTTTTAGGTTTAAGGACATGGATAAAACTCTCATGTACTTGATACGAAAAATAAAAAATGTAAATTCTTAATTGGTAGAATTTGAACTACTCCTTAGTATACTGTGACAGAAACTTTACTATTAGCATTTTCATTTGGCTTACTGGATGCTGGCCATTTTAGAGAAAGAATGCTAATCTGCATAAACCATGCCTAACCCAAAAAGTCAATTCCTGTTCTCGGCTCTTTTGGAAGCACCTCCTTAACTAAATAGATACATGCACAGGCCCCAGGATAGTGACAGGACTGGCTCCGGCCTTGCAAAGCTGGGAGGAGCCACTTGAACTGTTTTCATCCACTCACCTGTTTGTGAAAGCTCAACATATCTGACAGTGGGGTCAGAAACTGAAGACAAAATGATGAGGACCACAATGTTTTTTCCCACCACAACCAGTTACTGTTTAAAGCATCTTCTTAGCTTAGTTTACTTAATACTGCCGATAGAGAGTTGAGTTTAGTATAACAAGAATTTAATTTGCTTTTGCTTACAATAGTGTTTGAAACTAGATTTCTCAATCTTAATTCAGTTTCAAAAGAATTACTTTCTCTGGACAAAACTTACTGCAGGAGTAACCTTTTCTGGTGAATTCCTAGATTTGTCAACTTCAGAGACAACCCACTGGAGCTAGAGGTAACACTCCCTCCATGTGAGAACACAGATGAGGAGGAGCAACAGGAAATGTTTGGCATTGACTTCATGCACATGTATATCCAGGAGTCACTCAAGAAAACAGGCATGACTTTTCTATCAATTCTTATCTCTCCACAATATAGTGAGGAAGAGAGGGATAAACTGGATAAATAAAATCTGGGATATGTATAGAAATGAAATGTGAATAACCTTCTTAATAAATGAGTAATGTTTTCCAAAAAATCTGTAAACAGGCTTTTACTGAGGGCAGGGGCACTTTCAACAGTAGTTGGTACAGTAAGGTCTCCACACAAACAGCATAGATTCTGGTAGGAACACACTGGAACCATGGAGCACTGTAATAGTGTCTGAGTTACCTACACCATGGGTAACTAGAAGCTGATGACTGTCTTTTAATTCATGTCCTTTAATTCATGAAGCTCAACTTCTCCTATTTTTGGATGTTGTCCAGATGGTACTTCCAGAAGAAGACTAAGGGACAAAAGCTAGGTTCCCACCATACATCTTTTAGCAATGAACTATCAACACCAGATGTTTCTCACAACTTGCTTTTCCTGACAGAGTCATTTAAACAAAATGCCCAGTTTCACCCCATTTCTAAAACATGACAAAAATTTGCTGTTCATTGTCTCCAGAGTAACAGTTTTAATGTTGCAGTAAGAGACCCAAATAAGCACTTTTGAACAGATGTTCAGTTGGCAGCTATTACTTGCAGAGAGCACTTCACTTCAGACATAAAATGTTCTCTCTGATCTTCATTCTGTGTTTTATGAAGGCTTAAAAAAATGAATGAAATGCTCTTGAGTTAGAACACTAAACCAGTTTTTTTCTTATCAATATTTCATGCATGAATAACCAAATTAGCAAAAATATATCAAGATGACACTTTAGACATAAGTTTTCTTTCTGAATAGATTCCCTAGCACTATAAGCTGATGAAAGTACTTAGGCCTACTTAAATATTTTAAGAGGAAATACAAAGCTAGTCTGAATTTCAAAGTGAAAATAAAGTATGTCAACTTTTCTTATTTTAATGTATTGTCTTTCAGGAAATGTGGAAAGTTGTACTTCTGGTTCTCCTGCTGTCATGAATCCTACTGAATAAAGAATGTAACTGTGAATGAAAAAACTATCAAGTACACTTCTTCACAGCAAAGAGGCTACAACAGGTTTCAAATATTCTTGGGAATTTTATTTTTCCACTGATGAGAACTGGTTTGCATATTTGTAATTCCCAGTAAGACTGGAAAATATAAGACCTTTTATTGGGTACAGGAAAAATGATAAAATGGGGTTTTTTGCTAAGAAGTGAATTACCTTTTTTAAAAAAAACCCAAATGAGTTTTATAGGGTTTATTTTTTTTTCCCCTACCAATTCCAAATCTATCTCCTATCATATAGTTGGCTCTGGTATCAAAGAAGGATTTGGGACAGCTGTCAACAGGACGTTCTCCAAGGACACAGCAGACTCTGTATAATACTGCAGTGCAGCCTTGTATCCTTGGTGTTGTAAATACTCAATCCGTCCATGATCAATCAGCCGTTTGCAAAGGCAACCGATCTCCTTTCGCTCCTCAACACTCAGTATCCTAGTTCCAGAGCAGGAGGGAAGGAAAGAACAGCTGTCAGAAAATAGTTTTGGTAATTAACATTAATAGTTAAGCTTAGAAAAACTACCAAAATCATTTTAAGTTCATTTCAGTCAGGCAAGAATTACTGTTGAAATATTTTCAAATGTATGTCCACGAAAATTGTATTTTCAAACTAAAATATTTCTGTAAGTTTAGTAATTAAATGTTTCTGCAAAATCAGCCCTTTTGAGGACCCAAAACAATTTAACAATTTAATTACATAGCTTTTCTGCTGAAGTCCATTTGCTAGGAAAAAAAATGTACATACCCTTGTAAAGTATCAGAACCACTCTCTGTCCTGCTGAGCGTTTCCTCATGTTCTTCTGTGTCATTAGTTTGATCTTCACTGCCTTCACCTGCAGAAGCTTTGCTTGTGGTTTCTTGCATGCCACAAGTGGCCCAACTACTCATTCTCTGAAAATAATGGAATTCCACTGGTCCCAGTCCCACTGATTTAAAGAAATCTCTGCCTACATAATGTGTCCAGTCACACTTGTGATGGCAACACAGAGCAATAACAATTCCAGCTACAGGCTTATGGTCTCCTGTGGTGCTTTCATTACCAGCAGATTTGCGAGGAGCCACCTCTGTCTGAGCAGCCCTGCAGCGTTTTGGTGCAGGCTCTTCATCTTCTCCATCACAGCAAGTGGTGTAACTTTCAACCAAGCATCTCAAAGCAAGATCTGGGAATGAACAAATACATCCCCCCACAATGAAAAATATGCATAAATGCCATGCCATTATTATACAGGCTCTATCATGGTTGGGAATGTGCTTCCCACTAAAAAAAATAAAATTACACATCACAAACTAAGCCAAAAAGCAAGTTCAGTGATACCTAAAACTTATAAACATGCTTTGAAAACATGAAAACCCTAATTGTGGTTTCTCTGGAGCTTCTAAGAGCTTGTCCTCTGAAATACTTGTTCTGGAAAAGTGAATTTAAAATAGTATGGTTAACAAATTGGCATATTGTAGGAGAATCTCCTCCCTGTAAGATGCACAAGTATTTGCTCTAGAAGTTTTATATCTAGGACACAATTTATTTAATATTCACATGTACTTCTTAAATGCTTAACTGTGTCATCTTTGTCATGCTACCTATAAAGGTGTCATATTTGAGATGTCTGTCTTTCTCAACATAGTAGCCATATAACATTAGAAAAACTGTGTTAGTTTATCAGGACAGAAACACAAACATATTTGTGTTTGGGATATGTAGTCAAACAACCAATAAAAATTTAGAAAGAAAATTGAAAGAGGCAACTGTGCTAAAAGAAGCGCTCTCAAATACATGACCCATGCCACCACATACTATTCTCTGTGCTAATCTATTAAAACCAAGAAGGGCTTCACTTCTGCCTAAAGTATCCTTATATCTATTATCCTTTCACTATTCCACTGGAGTCAATAGATATTTAGAATATCATTACTGTGTTCACCAACAAAGGTTTGGAGAACAGCTTAAAAGGACAGTTTGGAAGATCAGTCCATTCAGAGTGTAAGGTTTAATATCCTGCCTTTCTGCAGTCCACACATCTGTAATTCCTACCTGTCGCAGCACCACACAAATGCTTCCCAATTCCTACCAATGGTAGTTTTTTCTTCTCCAAAATAGGTACCTTATCTGGAGGGAAAAAACACCATAATGAACAAACCCCAATCCAATCCACAACTCTGTATTTTCTGATTAATATAATTTCAGCACATATAGAAATAAATGTTTGCCATTACTAAAAATACAGTGATTGGTACATTCAGATATAAGCTATTCAAAAGAAGGAGTCTTTTGTTAAGAGAAATTAAAAGAATAGGATGCTGTGGCTGGGAAACACATTTAACCATTTCAGCCTTTCTATACTGCCTATGAAAGGTAAATATGACATTAATGCACCTTGTGCTGACAGGTGCTCTCACAATTCTAAGCACTGACGGTGCAACACTTACTTAATTCTACACATAAAACAAACAATGCAAACATCAACATGTCCAAGCAACCAGCGAGAATAATCTTCAGAACCAAGTACATTTAAGCACATTACACACAAACTGACTGGAACCCAAATTCAAAATTTAAGAATAAGCATCTATTTCCGAATGACACAGGCCAAGAAGGAACTTACTTAAACATAAGTGCTGAATGTCTACTTGAAGCCTCTCAAATATAGAATCTCTCTTTTTGTGTTTTCCATCCACCTGTTTAAACAAAACAAGGGATTACATAGGGCTGGCCACTAATAATTATAATTTTGCTTCAGGTATTTATGTCAAGACTTTTTTCTTGTCAAGTCAACATCTATGAATTTCCAACATTAAAAATCGGATTTTTAAAAATAAATTTGCCATTGGTGAAGTATGGAATGTGTAACTTGTAAAATTCAAATTTATTGAAGATAAAAAATAAATACTAACAAATTCAATGGCAATGGTTTAAAAATTATACTTTACTCATGTAACAATATCCTCTTACCTTGAATCTTGTGGTTGCCCTTTCCACAAGCAAAAACAGAACACCTTCAACATTCTCTAAGGCAATATCAACCCAATGAGACAACTTTCCTCGCCCAGCTCCAAACTCAACAAAACACCTTCCTGGACCAAGTAAATGCAATTTTTCCATGTTACCTAAAATAGAAGCCTAAAAACGTCAAAAGATTATTTGTGAACCAAGAAAATATATACCTTGTGTTTTGTAATGCCTTATAGAACAATTATTCCTTCACTGAACTGCAGAAAACTTTTTTTAAGCCTTCCTTTCAGTGAGGGATTAGGGAAAAGATGATGTGTGTACAGAGGAAAGGGATTATATCTTATGTTTTACCATATCAGATTTCCTCTGCAGGAAGCAACAGTCACTCAAATTTACAGCAGCACAATTCCATGTCCAAACCCCTCTATAGTTACTAGTAAGTCAGACCAAACCTGTTGTTTCAGGTGTTTGAAAGCAGATTCCCCATTCTTTGGGTCATTTAAGGCTTCTTGTAAAGCCTGGTGGGACAGTATTTGTTCCTTAAGATGAAGTTCCAGGCCTGGAGGCAAATGCATAACTTTCAGGTACAGCTTTCAAGTTTCCAATGGTTCCTAGTTTTTAACACACATTACAATGGTGACATGAGCTCAGTTTGTAGCACTAACAAAACACTCTGCTGGGAGCATAAATCTATCATTGTATGTTTGTAACAGAGCTGTATTGTTATCTGTAGTGATATCTGAGTGAGGAAAAAAAACCAAAAGGAACACAGGATTGGAGTTTTATCATTCCTTCAATCTAGATTACTTTTTGGAGTAAAATTCAGCTATTGGAGGTCTGCCTGATAATTATTTCAGATGTGTTTTTTGGCATCTATCTGATATTTTTACAGGTATCTAACAACAAAAATAACAACGAAATAGTTAATCAATTAAATTTAAAACATCTTATTTTTAGTATTTAGTATTAAGCTCACCATTACTTGCTTTTTTCAACTTGATAATTAAGTTCTGTAGCTCTTCAATAGATAGAGAAGATAGAGGAACCTTTTAAGGAAAAAGAAAGTGACACCAATAAATATGAGACCTTTGAAATTTTATGTATCTTTGCAGTCATAAATTGCAATGTGTAAAGTAAGGACTGAACCTAAAACCAAATAATGTACTCACTTTTTTTTCTGGTATTTCTATTATGTCTTTTAAACCAGCATTAATATCTTGAACAAAGTAGACCTTCAAAAAAGCAAAAGAAAAAAAATTGATTCAGTTAATTACCAGGAAGCAAACAGCTAAATTCTTCAATGTTCTTATGGTAAGGTATGTAGCAATAGGAATCCACTGTAAAGTAAGATTTTACAAGTATTTTTTTTCCTATAGTGTGATCCTGAATCCCAGCCAGAAATGACTCTTCTGACACAGTTTTACAAGACTGAACATGTTCATAAGAGCTAAGCAATTTGTGCTTACTAGACAGATTCCGGAGACCTGTGTTCAGGTGTCCCAGGGAATACTAAAGGTGCAATTCTAATAAGGCAGAAAGGCAGGCAATAAAGAAGCCATCCTCTGCTTTCTTGGAAGAGCTGTTTAAACACATGTCCTGTTGCCAGCCTCAGCAGCTGCCAGCCAAGCTTTCTGTGGCTCACTGCCAGCCTGAGTGGAGCAGGCAGTTGGCTGGAATACCCAGAGCTTCCCTGCACGTTTTGCTTACACAGGACAACCTCTCACCCAGCCTCTGAAATGAATGGCATGGTGAGACCCTGGGTTCCCTGGGTGCGCTTCTGAGAAAAATGAATTCATCATTTTTGTTGGTAACCAAGAACTGAAAAAGTGTACCAGATTACAGTGAGAAGGGGCAGAGAATACAAGGGGACTGGCATGTGAGTTGCATTTCAGCAAGTACTTATAGAGCTTCCATCCTGCCTTACAGTAGTGCTTTGGTAGAACTGTTGCCCTGCAGCTCACAGCTGCTGTCAGCACAGAAAATTCTCTGAAGGGCTGTAATGTTTAAGGTCTTAAATCCAAGAGGAAGTGCTGAAATTACACTGCACTTACGGGCTTTGGCTTTTCTCTGGAGTTACATTTTTTTAAATGTTTTTGTAGTTGATCTTCATATACAGTGCTAAAAGCCAAATAGAGAGATAAGTAAGTATCAACGTGAATACTGACAAAGAACGGGAAAAACATTTACATATACTCACTGTTTCGGATCAAGAGGGCACGGAATTCTTTTTCTGTCATTTTGTTCCTAGTTTAGAAAAGTTTTAGAAAACACTTCAGCATGCATTCAGTGTTGTGTTTTAATGAAGCTGTTGAGGGGCATCAGCTTCATAAAACATCTATTCAGAATAGGTGAGTTAACCGGAACGGAGAAACTGAGACAAGATCTTCATACCTGACTGGATCCTAGAAGAATAAACCCCTAACGCAAGGGCAGAGCTACTGCTGGGCTGAAGCGAGTGCCCGGCACAGAAAGGCTCCAGGGAAGGCACAGGCACTGCCTCTCCCACCCGCGC